CAAAATGTTTAATAGAAATTCATTACACAGTTTACACTTTATTGTTACTTTATATTTTGGGAGGCACAGTCTGCATCTCTTTCTGTGACTTCTATCAACAGTTCTTTGGAAGTGAGTCTCGGAGGTGATGAGTTCTGTACTGTTCTAGAGTGGTATACCAGAAGGACCTGGTCTGATGTGTATCATAGATTTCAGAAGCAGTACATTTTATGCTAAAATACAGAAACAGCTACAGTGTAATTTGGTCAACAATTATTTATTAAAACTATTGATTTCAGATGTGTTATTAATAATAATCACTTACTTCTGGGTAAAAAGTCAGTAGCAAGAAATATAGTTCGAGTAGAATAGGTTTGCTTGGTACCAATTTATCTACGTCTTCCAACAAAGTGTAGAGAAATATCTAAAATCAGAGTGCTTGACTGAATTTGAATGTTTGCAAAACAGTAACCGGATTTGAAACCTGTATGTTTATTGATTGATGAATAAGTCTGCTGAAAGAGAAGAAGGATTTCACAACCATGTGTACCAATAAGATCTTTGTATACCTATGTAGTATACCGTTAAATTCCTAACATCTCGGAAGGATTAACAATAAACGTTTCGACAGATTCAAAGTGCAGTCTTATTGCTCTGGAGAATACTTGTTGTAAACCACTTTAGGATACATACATAGCCAATAAATTTCACATCCTGTTGTTGGCCTAAATGTTTTCACGGATTCTAAATGCAGCGTGATTACTAAAGTTAAATTTGCTAGTAAACACTGTAAGATATATAATCTGATACATTAGACATCCTGTTCTTGGAGCAGGGGTCAAGTTGGATGGCCCTTTGCATGTGCTTTGTTGCTTTCGTATTATGATGTCACGTAAACAGTCGACTGACACCGTTGGCGATTTATTACTTCCTTCTCAGCGGATTTCTACTTCAGTCGTACACGTAGAAAATAAATGTGAAATGCTTAGTAACTGAAACTCTCAAGAGAAGTACTTTAAAATCTTATGAATAATAATCAAGAAAACGGGGCAAAGCAGAAGTACTTTAAAATCTTATGAATAATAATCAAGAAAACTGGGCAAAGCGAAGTACTTTAAAATCTTATGAATAATAAT